TGTTGTGGGGTCTTTTGTGACTTCTTGGATGAGTCGTCGCTGTGCTCTTGGGGTAATTTTGGTTGGCCGGCCACTCCTGGGAAGGTTCTCCACTGTTCCATGTTTTTGCCATTTGTGAATAATGGCTCTCACTGTGGTTCGCTGGAGTCCCAATGCTTTAGAAATGGCTTTATAACCTTTTCTGACTGATAGATCTCAATTACTTTCTTTTTCATTTGTTTCTGAATTTCTTTGGATCTCGGCATGATGTCTAGCTTTTGAGGATCTTTTGGTCTACTTCACTTTGTCAGGCAGGTCCTATTTAAGAGATTTCTTGATTGCGAACAGGTGTGGCAGTAATCAGGCCTGGGTGTGGCTAGAGAAATTGAACTCAGGTGTGATAAACCACAGTTTTAACAGGGGGGGCAAACACTTCTTCACAGGGTCATGTAGTTTTGGATTTTGTTTTCCCTTAATAATAAAAACCTTCATTTAAAAACTGCATGTTGTGTTTACTTGTGTTATCTTTGACTAATATTTAAATTTGTTTGATGATCTGAAACATTAAAGTGTGACAAACATGCAAAAAAAAAAAAGAAATCAGGAAGGGGGCCAACACTTTTTCACACCACTGTACATGCAAGTCAGGGAACATGATTGTGTTCATTTTCTTAATGATTTTTTAATCCCCTTAAATTAACAGGCTAAATTCACAGCCCCAGTTACAATACATTATCTTAAAAATATACCAATTGCATATAAAATCAGTATACAAAATATACTTATTGCATGTTAGTAAACAAATGAATAATAATGAACAAGAAGACATTTAGTTTGATATTTATAATCTTATAATTATTATTTATTTTAATATGATCAATATCATTTTATAATAACAATAATAATTATTACTATACATTAATAATGTCGTAATAATAGTATATTAATAATTATGTAATAAATAGTAATTAATAAATTAATAATAATGAATTCTGACATCAAAGATTTAGTCTAATTATTTTAAGTCATTGAAATGCATCTTGGCACCCTCACCATTGTCTCGTCTCCGGGCCGATGAGACCACACCATAAGCACCTGTACCAATGGTCTCAATAATGTCATATTCTTCCCCAACTTCAAACTTCACATCCAGGGAGTGGGCTTTAAGCAGAGCCAAGTTCTTATCAGCGACAGTATTTGCATCTGTTACAATGGATGTGTCATCATTAGGCTGAGAGGAACCTTCTGTAACGCCTCTGTGATGGTTCTTGTCAGTGTTGCCCTCGGAGGCTTTTCGGGCCGGCACTGCTTGGGTGTCATTTGTCTCGTCCCTCTCATTGGTTGACATTCTGAAAGAAAACATTCAGAAAACGGTTAAAGATTTTAGATTTTACTTTCTGTTCAGCTTATTATAATGGCCCCTCTAAACTTCTCTTGGACATGCCAGACAGTTAATGCACAGTCTAACTAATCTTTCCTATTAATCGGTAACAGAAAAGACAATAATTTACAGTATTTCAAAAACAGCACCACTTTCACGTAACACACACACACTCATACATACATACATACATACAAACATACATACACACACACACACACACGTTTACAGTTTGTTTGAAATAACAATACAAATAATGCAAATATAAAACAAGCATTTATGTATTTATCGTTTCAAGAAATATTATTATGCGAGGTGCACACAGCTGCGAGTAGCTTATAACCGAAACCATAAAATTATTACAGAAGCATACATCATATCTGTAATTGCTCGTAATGGGACAACATACTACAGGTCCAGCAGGGCGTAGCTGTCGTTTGTGAGCAATTAATCCTGCTTAACGTTACATGCCGCAGGGGCGTGAGAGCCTATACTGGCCCAAAAGAGCTTTAACAACAATACGTTCACTCTTTCTTTCTTTTCATATTAGAACACAGACCAAAAAAAGCTAATATTGTGTAATGAAAGCGGTCATAATTACCTGTTAATATATGGAAGCAGTGGAAATTCTGAGCGGGTCTTTCAAAGCATGTCTATTCTTTGCTATCACGAAGCACCGTTTTACTTCCTTGTGTTCTTCCGTGTTGTGTTTGAATGGCAGCAAAGCAACCAATCGGCTCTATGATCGCAAGATGATCAACCAATGAGATTCGACGACATTGCTCAAGGGGCGGGCTCCTTTGAAGCGTAAAATAGGGTCATTCTTTGGGCGGCGTCGAGTGTAAATAAGAAAGACGCGCACATGCTATAACATGTCATACTCTATATAATAATTTATAAACACAACAATATGGAGGTCCAAACCTGTAGGAACAACAACAACAACAATAATAATAATATGAAAACAAATAAAGTACTAAATTTGGTGCTGAATTAATTTTTATATTACTTCATTTATTTATTATTTAAATATGGGATATAAATAAATAAATAATGCATGCATGTTTGGCTTCCATACAACAAAAAATTCGCTTACTAATTTGAACACGTGGAATAAATCATCCAAACCGTCACACTGTATGTTTTAAAACGTTCATACATTTATATGTATGCAATCGGGGCCAGTGTTTATATTGTCAGTCCTATTTTTCTAACCGTCTGCTTCCCGACCATCTGCACCGTCCAATCAAAATGCTCACGTCCATACAAACAGAAAAAAAGAGTAGAATGCTAATTAGCGAAACAACAGTATAAATTGCGCGAGATTTAAATATTTACTTTTATTTTCAATTTGCTCTTAAAGTCGGAGTTTCCTCAGTAATAGTTTTCTCAGCGTTGATCAAGTACACCAATGCCAGTGCTTACAGTATTAGAGTGCTGTTGTAGATTTAGGTACCAATCCTTGCACCTAACAGACGAAAACGATTACATTTTATCGTATTAGTGCTAAAATGTGTCCTGAGACGCGAATGCGGCTCATCAGTGGGACTTTCTGAGCCTCCAGGCGCCACCTGCAGGACAAAAGCGCATCATCCCATAGGAAACCGTTATTAGCCAGTAACATCGCTCGTGCCACGCGTTTCAGTCCTGTGGTCTAGTGATGGGAAGTTCGGTTCTTTTCCGCGAACCGGTTCTTTCGGACAGTTCGATTCAATAAACCGGTTGAAAAAACCGGTTCACCGGTTCTTTTACGCTCGACGTAATGACGTCATTGGCGATGACGTAATGGCGTCAAGTCTATCGCGGGCTTAACACATTCAAATATAAAGTCAGTAATCATAACATCAGTCAATTAAAACATCATTATAATCTGATACCCGGTTAAATTGAACGATTCGTTCGCGAACCGGTCATCACTACTGTGGTCCAATCACAGCTCTTCTCTCAGACTTTTCCACGTTGCAATATATTCAAGGTGGGAGCCTGGCAAATTCGAGCATATTCTACAATTACAAATTGCACTTAAGAGTAGCAAGTTTTTAGTCTGCAAGTATAGCCTACAAAACAGGCTTTTGTAAATTACGTAATTTGTCAGAACATTTAACACTGTGACTGCAATGTCCTCGAGCCATTCCTCTACAGGAGTTCCTAAATGGGAACATCGCGTCCGCTTCGTCCTGTGTTTTCTGGGTTTAGTTCTGTCGGTTTACGCGTTACATGTCGAGCTGTCCCGGGAGAACGATCCGGAATATCGCGCGATGTGCGACCTGGGCCATTCCGTGAGCTGCTCTAAAGTCTTCACATCCAGGTAATGCGTTCAGTTCAGTCCAGCCAGTTTTCATGCGCTGATATCACAGTATTTTAAGGCAAGACACCGCGGGTGAATAGGGTAAAAATGTAATATGTAGGCTAACTAATGTAACTAATTAACTGATGTAGCCTAACTGGCTTACTTCCCCAGCTAACTGATTACATTAGGATTTTTTTCAAGTTTTCTGAATTGTGTAAATATGCAAAGTATGCATTATCTTATTAAATATGCAGTAATGTATGTAATATGTATGTAAAATGTAGTATACACCTTTCAGTTCAGTCCAGCCAGTTTTCATGCGCTGATATCAGACAGTATTTTAAGGCAAGACACCGCAGGTGAATAGGGTAAAAATTTAATATGTAGGCTAACTAATGTAACTAATTAACTGATGTAGCCTAACTGGCTTACTTCCCCAGCTAACTGATTACATTAGGATTTTTTTCAAGTTTTCTGAATTGTGTAAATATGCAAAGTATGCATTATCTTATTAAATATGCAGTAATGTATGTAATATGTATGTAAAATGTAGTATACACCTTTAGAATATAGATAGGAATAAAACGGTCAAGCTTGCTACTAAAGTAGAGATTTCTGGCTCAGTGCAGGAGGAAAAAAACTCATTTTCTGAAAACAGTAAATAAAACTGTTGCAATAAAAGAAACACTTAAGCATGTATTTTGAATGTTTCATCATTTCCATTAGTCAGTAAATCTCACAATTGACTAGTGCATGAAAAAACAGTAGTGTTGTGCGCCATAGTCTTTGCTAATAAGTTTAGTCTTATATGCAACCTGCAAACAGTGAATATTTGCCTGCAAAAAACATCCATTATCAACTGATGGATTGGTGGGACTTTGCTCTTTCTCAGATGGGGACGTGGATTTGGGCTCGTCCAGATCTTTACTTCTAAAGACAGCCTGTTAAACCAGCCAAACAGTGTATTGGGAATAATTTTCTATGCATTGCAACTGGGTTTAGGTAAGTGCTGTTAGGCCACTAATGGTTTGTACTGGGACCCCAAAAGCTATTTCACCAATAATATAAAACCAAGTGTCATCTGCAAACACATTTTAATCAACAGGCCAGCTGGTGTCCAGTAGAGCAGCGTTCTTCCTTGTCATGTCTTCTTGGGTGTCAGTGGCTGGATCTGTATATCTGGCTGTTATTCTGGCATTCGTCTTGGGTGATTTCTGCGTGGTCTGTGTCTCAACCTACATCATAAACTTTGCTCTCCTCTACACAAACCTAAAGAGAAGGACGGGACTGGAGGGACGTCTGAAGAGAGGGAAGAGCGAATGACACGGGGACATCTGGGATTAAGCTGCCTCTAACTTCTGGGGGAAAAGAGAGGAACATGCATAAAATAATTGTTTATTACTGAAAATCCTGGCACTTTGCAGACTGGTCTTAGTAAAAAGAAAAATACTAACAATAATCTGGACTTCACATGTTCATAGACACAAATAGGGGAGGAAGCCTCAGTTTTATTTATAATCTATTTCAGAATAATGAAAAACAACAACAACAACATGTTCATGGAAGTGATGATACAGTTATCAGAAAGTGTATGATGCTCATCCTGTGTTTTGCGTCCAGGTCAGATTTTTACATGTACAAGTAGGCTAATGTGAGACTCTATGTGATCAATAAAGTCAGATTTTCCATTAAATCCTGTTTTGATTATGTGCTCATGTCAAGTGTATGAACATTTAAATATATAATGTTGCCCTAATGCTGTTGCTGCTGCTGCTTACAGAGATACAGATACTATATGTATACATTTCAACATCAGGGCCACTTTGAGACCAAAAAAAGAAATAAATAAAAATAGAATATATAAATAAATATTATGATAAAATAAAAAGTAATAAATACTAGAATAAAAAAATAAGTACTAATAAAAATATATTATTATTATATTATAATTTTATATTTAATACAATTATAATATAATAAATTATAATATAATAATAAAAATGTAAATAAATGGTTTATTTGTTTGTTCTGTAGTATATAATGAGATGTATGCATGTGAATTTGTTTATAATCTATACACAACCCCGCTCTCTCTCTCTCTCTACATATATATATTGATTTCGGATGATAATGCAACAGCCATGCAAAAAACACAACACACCTCACTTTTTCTTCTTTTTGTTTAAACTGCTTAAGGGGTAACCTAAATTATTGTAAAATAATCCTAAATATTCTAAGATACTCTTAAAAATGATACTTCTTAATTACTTAATCCAGATTACATGTAATCAGTTATGTATCGTCTTGTCACGTGTGGGCCGTTCTACAGCGTTCATCTGAACTGTGTTGATGTAGCGCAATAGTATCCAGCTGCAGACCCGCAGCACAAGCGGCCACAGAACCGGAAGTGAGGGGCGGAGCTTACGCTTTTAACAGAGTAGCGCCACCTTACGGTTTTTAAGGGGTGATTTGCTTTTATTACACACGATACGTCTTACTTTATGTATGTATGCATTTTATAATGACATATTAAGCATTTTATAAACATTAATCTTGTGTAATTTAGTTGTAGGCCTATACAGTTATTCGTTTCATTGTATTATGCGAGTTATTTCCTGTTTGTGATATTAAAAATAATGTTTGAAACTTCTGGGCATTTTATCTGAAATATACTTTAATCACAAGATTCAAAATAAATGTTTACTCCAAAGTCAAGAACACGTGCATCATACATTTTTCTATATGAAAACTAAAACATTTCAATAAAAGACACACACACACACACACACAGAAACAGCATCATAATTTTAAAAGTAACAATCAAAATGTACACAATAATTAAACTGAAGTTTATAAAATGAACAATTCACTATTAAGCCCATTTTACATTTAAAATCCTGCATGAAAACTTACAAAATGAACAATTCACTCTTGGGCACATTTTG